TGCAGCAGGCAGAAGGCACCTGCACAGCCATCCATGCCAACTCCTGAGTGGGGGGCCACAGCTCCCTGCTCCCACCACTGGGGCTTGATTTCAGGTCATAATTTCTGTCCCCAGGACCCCAATTTTCTAGCAGAAAGTCAAGGTCAAGGTCAAGGGAAGGTGAAGAGGCTGATCCCCACCTCTGCAACCTAAAACTGATGCTGCCCAACTCCAAAGTCCACTTCCTAAATGGACCCAAGCTCAGGGAAGATTGAGGTCCAGTGATAGATGGCCACTCCCACGACCATGGCGCCTGTCCCACCCCCTGGGCCCTAAAGGGCTGCTTGTGTGTGTGCACCTCTCCCCTCCACTCCCTGTGTCCCCTACAGACTGAGACCCTCCACGGTCTTGCATCCACCAGCAGTGAGAACACTGCCAGGGTCTAATGAAAGTATCACCATTTGTTAATTCACGGGGCAAGCAGAGAGGCTCATGGTCCATGAGGTCACCAGCCCCAATCAAAAGGCTAGAAGAAAGGGGCAGGAGGTGACAGTAGCTATGGTTGGGACCCTTGGGGATACCAGGTGCTTGGCCCACGTAAGACACAAGAATTTGGGCCACAACCACAATGGCTCTCCTGCTGGCTGCTACACCCCAGGTCACAAGTGGCGCATCCCCTCCCCGTAAGAGAAAGAGTGGGAGCTGCCACCTTGGCCTTCACGGGGCTTTGGCACATGAGAGAGACCACAGGCTGTGGACTCCTCAGCCCTACTGCAGACAGTGTTTCAGGGACCCTGGGGGCAGCCTTCAGAAGGGGCCAGGGACAGAGACCCCAGGTGCTGAGTGACAGAAAGAGAAGTTAACGCACCGTCTTTGACCCTCAAGTGCCCCAGATACGCTGGGGCCCTGGCAGCCCCTGGAGTCCTGGAGGACTATCCTGGCGCCCAGGCCCTAGCGAGATCCGCACTGCAGTTTCAGACTCCAACGCATCTGCTCTCAGATCCCTCTCTGCACTCAGGCTGGAAAACGAACCGGGACTCGGGGAAAGAGTGGCTCGAAGGCAAAGGCGGAAGGAAGCTGCCCCCACGTCCCGTGCGCACCAGAGCCCACCTAGATGGCTGCTGGCCCGGCCACTCGGGGCTTTGCGTGTGCCACGTGCCCTTACTCCCTGCAGGCCAGCCTTGCCTCTGCCGGGAGCCCAGCTCAGGCTTCCGACTGGCTCCACGCAGACGCCAGGGAGCCCTTGGGAGCCTGCAGCGTGGCAGGTTTTGGTCTCAAGCACAGCAACTCCCTAGCGAGTGGCTCCACGGACACCCAGGAAGGGCAGGCTGAGGCCCCCCGGCACTGTCCCCTACTCCACCTGTCACCCCAGTGAGCGTGGCAGAGGCCAGGGTTGGGCTGCTTTCTGCCCTGGAGGCTGCAGTCTAGGGGAAGGCAAAGCACCATGGGAAATGGAAGGGGCCAGAGAAGCCTGGAGGACCCCAGGACATGCATTCCAACGTAGAGAGGTAGGGCGAGGAATGCAGTAAGAATTACCCACTGGCTGTGTCCCATTTTTAAGCACCTTAAGTTGTAGCTACAAGGGTCTGCACTGTGGTTCCACCTGCTGGTTCACTCCTCAGATGGCAACAATGGCCAGCACTGGGCCAGGCAGAAGCCAGGAGCTTCATCCAGGTCTTCCAAATGGGTGGCAGGGGCCCACACACTTGTCCCATCCTCTGTTGCTCTCCCAGGCCATTAACAGGGAGCTGGATTGGAAGTGGAGTAGCCGGGACTCGAACCAGTGTCCATATGAGACACTGACATCACAGGTGGCAGCTTACTTGCTACACCACAGTGCCAGCTCCATAAATCTTTAAAAAAAAAAAAGTAGCTACAATAAAACCCACAAGGGCTCCCATACTACAAAATGCAAAACCTTGTACCCTGCTTCCACTGCTGTCCACAAGATGGAAGGTCTGTGAGATCCCACTCCCACTGCGTAGGCCTCCATGGTGCTAAGGCTGGCAGACAAGAGAGAACTCCAGAGTTCAGAGTTCATCTCGTCCCTGTGCCTCTAGACAGGAAAGGAAAGAGAAACCAACCCAAAAGGTCTTCGTAATGGGTCGAGGGGAAGCCAGGCTTGCAAACGGTGATGAAGGCTCCCCATTGGGGCCGCTCAGGAGTCTGGCCAGACTGATGCCGACATCGTGGGACACATGGGTGGTCTGAGCCGGGTCCAAATGCATTGTAACAAGAGGGCCTGAGCAAAGGGACTCAAGCCTTGGCCAAGTCAAAGGAAATGGATACTGTGCCTTAAAAAAAAAAAAAAAAAAAAAAACAGGCCAGATTTGAAGACTGGCCGGGGAGCCAGCCCCAGCCCTGTACAGAGTTTCTGGCCTCCTCCTTTCTATTCTCAGCCCTGAACTTGCCTCTAACTTGAAAGGGCTAATTAAAGCCAAAAGAAAAATCAAAAGCTTGTTATCAGGCTCCATGAGTCCCAGTCCCGGCATTAGCCCGTCTTGCAAAGCTGTTTTCCCTCTGTTCTCTCCAAGGCTACCATGTGGCGTTAGCACCTGCAGCTCTGCAGACTTCCACAATGAACTTGGCTTTTGGTGGCAGACAGCAAGGGCAGGACAAACACGTCTGCCCTTGGGCTGTCTGATGGATCCCTGCAGCCAATGCGGCTCCCAAAAATGCAGGGTTGGGAGCAAGTGCTCTACAGCAAAGTGTTGGAGACTGCCAGCCCCTCCAGTCTCAGAAGTCTCCATTTGGGAAGCACACAGCATAAACTCACGACCTTCCACCATAAGTGGTATGTGTGCATGCTCATGGGAGGTATTTCTTGCATGTAAGCAAGCATGTGTGGGTGTGCACACTCGCATGTGCCTTTGCCTGTACCCTGCAGGCTGAGGGGACCCTCCTCAAGGGCTGACCACTCACACACAAGGCAAATGACCGGAGGCAATTCACTGACCTGGCTGGGTGCTAGTTTGAAGTGTGTCCTCTTCCAAACTCGTGCTGAAACTTAATTGCTATGGTAACAGTATTAAGAGATGGGGCTTTTGAGACGTGATTAAGCCATGAGCATTCTACCCTTAGGACTGGGTCAGTGTCATTACCGAGGGGGTGGACTCCTTATAAAAGGGGCTGGCACTGTTGGTAGTAGGTTAAGCCCCCACCTGCAGCACCAGCATCCAGTAGGGGCACCAGTTCGAGTCTCAGCTGCTCCTATTCCAATCCAATTCTCTGCTATGACCTGGGAAATCAGTGAAAGATGGCCCAAGTGTTTTGGCCCTTTCACCTACATGGGAGACCTGGAAGAAGCTTCTGGCTCCTGGCTTCAAATCTGCCCAGCTTTAGCCATTGCAGCCATTTGGGGAGTGAACCAGGGGATGGAAGACCTTTCTCTCTGTCTCTCCTTCCCTGTAACTCTACCTCTCAAATAAATAAAATCTTAAAAAAAAAAAAAGATCATTCAACCCTCTCACACTCTCTCTCTCTCATCATCTCTCTGCCCCTGGAGCAGGGGAAGCCTTCGATCATGCTCAGTTGCAGCTAGAGGGGACTGTCTCAGCACCAGCAGCCCACTGACCTCCCCGTGGACCTGGGGCCGAGCACGTGACACACACACAGCCCGGCAGACACAGCCTCTAGCCTGGCTCTGGTTTTCCGAGTTGAGGCTCCCTTCTCCCATCTCCTTTGTGACACGAGCAGCAGGCTTTCCAGAACCTCCCAGAAGGGATGCACTCTGAGTTTTTAGCTCCAGCATCTGGGTGACACCCAGCCCCTTCTCTCTCCTCCCCCCGCCCTGCTGGTTTGACACAGAATTCTGGTGTCAGACACCCCATCTGTCTGCTTCCCTTCTGTCTCCTCTCTTGGGGTCGCCAGGGTGCCAGCGCCCCTGAGACCTGCTCGGCAGGCACTCTTGCTTTATGAAGGGAAACTTAGACTGCTTAAGTTAATCAAGACACGTTTTCCTCGCATGGAATTCCACCAAGGTTTGAGCAGGAGTCAAGAATCAAATGAGGACAAGTGCATACTTGTACCTGATGGGCAAATGTTCCTGTATTCTCCCCAAATTAAGACGACAGCACAGATGTTTTTCTCAAACGAGGCGAATAATATTTTAAGTGGACAGAAGAAGCAAGACCGTGGAGGTATCATTACAAATCGCACTGTTTTAGAGACGAGCAGAAGTTTAGCAGAGAAGGGCAGATGCTTTCCCTGCCAGGTTCCAGGAGCCATCGGCCAGGCCACACCGGGAGCCAAGCCACTCGTTTCGCCTGTGGTCACACAGCAAGGCTGCACCCTGACATCGGCTCACCCCTTGGGTCCCACAGGCCCCTCAACCAAACCCTCTGGTTCCCTGCGGCCCTGCTGCCACCACTTGCTGCCTGCTGCCTGCTTCCTGACTTGGTGGCATGCCCCTTCCATGGCGCCAAGCACACGGCAGTCTTCATAAATCCAGCTTCCCCTCCCACTCCTTCTCTAAGCAAGTTCTGCCTTCCCCTGTGTGTTCATGGGGCTGCCCCAGTGAATGGTGGCTCTCCTTGTGCTAACCCCTATAGACACAAAGGGGCTGGAAGCAGGGCTCTCCTTAAATCCTGTACCTACACCAAAGGCAGAATGGCTCCTCACACTCCCCCTGCTCCGCCCCTGGACCTAATCTGAACTCCCAGGGAAGTGATGTGCAGGCTGGGTTCCGCAGAATCATGGCACCCATTTGATACTATGTACACCACGCTGTAGCCTTGGCTGTGACCAGCACATGCAACATCTACTGAGCCCATCCCCCACTCTCCCCAGCACTCCCACCCAGGACAAGGAGCCAGTAAGGATCAGAACAGAGGGCCCCAATAGAAGATATATGCTTCAGCTCCAGCTTCGACTCCCAGGCACTCAGAACGTTTGAACTGCTGATGATCTGAGCGCCTTGAGACCCAAGACGCAATGAACTCACTGGAGAAGACTGACATGCATGCTACAGGCCCCCGGGTCCTCACCATCCACGCCCCACCAGCCCAAGCCCACAGACTCACCGCGCTGCTACAGGGGATGTCTTTCACCTTGAGCCAGGCCAGGTCCAGCGTGCCCTCACCCCGGTAGCAGGACTGTAGCCGCTCCTTAATGCGGTCATTGATTTGCTTCAAGATGAAGATGCACAAGGCCGACTCATCCAGGGACTTCATCTTCCGCTTCTGGCCCTTGGAGAAGACGGTGAAGAGCAGGTGGTCGTCCAGATGCACCCCAAGGTTGCGGGCGAGCACGGCCCCGGCCTTGGACAGATAGGCGGCCTGCAGCAAGCGGTACTCCACCCCGTTGTGCTCACAGCCGATGGGCACCTCCACGTAGGAGTTGAAGGCTGTGTCCTCCTTACACAGCCTCACCAGCTTGGACGTGTACACCTGCTCCTTTGTGGTAGAGCCTGGGGGAGACACCATCTCAGGCTGAAGCGTCAAAAAGTAGACGAAGTTGCCACTGCTGAAACCATAGACGTAGTAGATATCGAAGTCGGGGATGACCGTGAACGTGTCGGACGGGATCTTGATCATGGAGGCCACAAACTCATCATGGAAGACGTAGGCGAACATGCCGTCCGCCTCCGAGTTCTTGGTCAGCTTCCGGCTGGAGATGGTGGGGAAGTACTCGGGCTTGCCGTCCACGGCCGTGGCGATGAACAGCTTATCATCCAGGTTGCTGTAGGAGACGATCACGCCGAAGACGGCGCCGCTGCCGTTGGCGCCCGACAGGTAGTGCTCCTTCTTGTGGAAGGGCTCGGCCAGCTTGAAGAGGTCATCCAGCCTCAGGAGCTTGCAGACGCCCTGGAACAGGCTCCCGCATGCGATCAGCCGGTTCTCCTTGTAGTCAATGAGCAGCATCTTGTTGACGTTGTTGGTGGTGGTCAGAGGCTCCATGCATGTCTGCACGATGCGGGGTGGGTAGCACTTGGGGTTGTCCTCGTCCGGCCCCGTCTGGTGGGTCACCAAGACCTTCAGGTCGCTGGACAGCTTGTAGATCCGGTTGACGGCCCCCAGGTAAATGTGCCCTGTCCTCTCGTCCACCACCAGGTGATTGAAGCTCTCGGCGGGCTCCCCTCGGAAGGTGGCAAAAGAGCGCTTCTGGGCCGGCGCGGGCGGCTGCCGAGACAGCAGCGTGCAGGAGCCCATGCCCACCATCAGGAGGTGGGAGAGCAGGCAAGTCCAGTTCCAGGGCATGGCTTTCATTTCAGAGCGGAGACGGGCAATACAGCAGCACTTGGCCACAGCTATGTCCTCGGCGAGGGGGCGCACGAGTCAGCAGGGCAGCGTCCCCTAGAGGAGAAAGGAAAGGCTATGAAGGCGGAGAGCCAGGGCCAGGCGTCACTCACCCACAGCCTGCCCGGGGCACCCCCTGGGGTGAGGGAGGGGTAGCCCCAGCCCCAGTGGCCACCTCTGTAATGAAAGTGGAGACTCTGAGGGTGCCTGGGATAACCACCAGCCACTGCCTCTGGAGAGCCTGCCTGCATGTCAGCCCCAGTCCCTCACTGAGCACAGATGTCTCATTTCCCCTTTGCAAGCCCTTCTGGGCTAAGTATCTTCCATCCGCCCTCCCGATCCACCATCTCCACCCTGTGTTCCCTGGGGGAGCTGACCTGTTGGTCAGCTGTAGAAGCCCGGAGGGAGGAGGAGAGGCAGGGGAAGGAAGCAGCACACAGCCTGCCCTGGCTCTGAGCCTCATGGGAGGGAGCTGTGCGGCCTCTCCACACCACCAGCCACCTCCAGGTTCTGTGAACCAGCTCCCGACGGACCCTAAGTGCCCAAGAGGCAGCAACAGGGGCTGTGTGCTTACTCTCCCCAAATACCGTGTTGCCCCTACTTTTATAAAGGGTCCCTTTGTTATGCTTTGCACCAGTAACTGAAATTGCTGGGACCCTGACTTGTACAGGACGTACAAAATGCTATTTCGCCCCCATGTTGCAGCCTGGGAAAATGAGTTTGGGGAAGTTATGTGGCTCACACAGCTAAACATGGTAGCAGTAGGTACATACTCTAGTAAGCTCATAGCCAGATCTCATTCTGAACATCTCAGTTTATCATGGTCTTGCTGGAGGCTGCGTAGCTAGAACTGTGCAGATTCATTTATTTACTTAAAAGGCAGAGTTACAGAGGGGCAGAGGCAGAGAGAGAGAGAGAGAGGTCTTCCATCTGCTGGTTCACTCCCTAGATGGCCACAAGGGTCGGAGCTGCACCGATCTAAAGCCAGGAGCCAGGAGCTTCTTCCAGGTCTCCCATGAGGGTGTAGGGACCCAAGGACCTGGGCCATCTTCCATTTCTTTCCCAGACCATAGCAGAGAGCTGGATTGGAAGTGGAGCAACCGGGACTTGAACTGGCACCCATATGGGATGCTGGCACTGCAGGTGGCAGCTTCACCCGCTACACCACAGCACTGGCCCCTGGACCCGATCTCCTAGGCAGTCCACTCCAGCTCCAGCCTCTCCGAATCTGGGGTTTGCAACAGCTGTGCCCCTCTGCCAGACGGTGCAGGGAGGCCACATCCTCCAACCATTCTGACTGTGGCAGCACCAGGCCCTCTGGCTGCAATGCCCAGCCCTGGCCCTAATGTCATTTTAACAAGGCCGATCTTGGCTGTCTCCCATAGTGGGGCCTCCTCTGAGAGCTTTTCATTCAAGGGAGAGAAAAAAACTGTTTTAGGAAGAAAGCAGTCAGTAAATAATGGAGTCTCCGAGGAGCCAAATCGCTTTGCATCCTGACAGTGCCCTTCAATTCTACCCAAGGTGCTTTCTGCGTGTGTATCAGCACACGGCTCCATGTTCCTCCCAGTACAGGAGACTCGGAGCCGGGTTTGCCAGGGTCTTATTTGGAAGCATCTTTGGCTCTTAGGAATTTCACTCATTTTCTCCTAAACTCCTCAAACACAGGACCTGAGAAGGGGGAAAACCATTAAGCCACCAAAACCTCCCTGGCAGGGGAGACCACTAGCTTGGGTAGAAACCAAGAGAGAGAAAGAAAGAAAATCAAAGACGATATGAAAACACAGGTCTTCTCAAGGAAGCGTCAGGGGAGGAAGTTTCTCGCAGGTGGAGCACCCAACCAACAGCAGTGCTATTAGCCCAAGGCCTTCACTCATTCACCCAAGAGGCAAGTGTTAGCTCAGAGAGCACACGACACACGCAAGAGACATGGGGTCCAGAGATGGGCGTCTCAGACAATCTATAGCCAAGTCCTGTGGATGCACTGGAAGCTCCATTATTGCACAAGGGGAGAAGCCGCGGGGCATGCTTTGGAATGCTCTGGAAGGGAAAATCGGGAAAGCAGACTTCCAGCTGGGGGTACGGGGCAGGAGGACTTGGGGCAAAGGATGGCACTGAGCCAAGCTGTGAACCTGGAAAGAACAGGCCAGGCTGGAAGGCCAAGGCCTTTTCGTAGAGGAGCCAACACAGAGAAAGGTGTGGCACAGCAAACCAGGCGCAGACCAGCATGAGTCTGTCTGGAGAAGACGACGAGGCAGGCACGGGAAAGCCACAAGGGGGCACGGAAATCAAAATGTGCAGTGTGGAGGAAAGAAAGGAGCAACAGCCCCCAAGGGGAGCTACCGCGTTTCTGTCAATTTAGCCTTGGCCTTGGCCGGAGCAGAGGCTGGAGTGGAGGCTGAGTCCAGCGAGGGCTGGGCGGGTCTGTCTCACTCACTCACTACCACCACCACCCCTGTGTCCACAGCACCAGAATAATGGCCCACCATCTACCAGAGGCTGTGTGTGTGTGTGCATTTTGAGTTAGCTACCATGTTTACAACTAATGTATTTATTTTCATTTTTCTGAAAGGCAGGGAGACAGATCTTTCATCCACATTTCCACAGTCCACTTTCGTACCTACAAGAGGCAAGACTGGGCCAAGCCAAAATCAGGAACTCAATCCAGGTCTCCCACAAGGATGGCAGGGACCCAAAGCACTTGAGCCACCACCTGCTGCCTCCTGGGGTGCACAGGGGCAAGGAGCTGGAATTAGAAACAGTGCCAGAACTCAAGCTCAGGCACCCCATATGGGACGTGGGCATCCCAACCACTGGGCCAAGTGCCTGTCGCCACTCAACAGCTATGTTTTGGCAGGGAGAAAGAGGGGCTGGAAGCAAGCGGGAATGTATTCGTGGAGCCTTGTCTGCACCCCAGGCTCATGCAAATGCCTTCACATAGATGACCAGTCAGCATCGCACCTGCTCTCTGAGGTCGGGGTTATCTGACCCATTTTTCAGTTCAGAAAACTTCAGCTCTTCTAGAATTAGAAAGTGTCAAACTTGGAGTTGAAACTCAGGTTTGTGCCACTGCTAAATCCTTACTCTTTCCAGAAATGTACGGTTGCAGAGCCTAGAATATACTGAGAATTCATAAAAATTCCAAACACAGAAACCCCGGGACATTACCTCCCAACAGCAGGAGGAAGCAAAGTCGCCCTGACCCACGGGGCACCACCTGGAAGATAACGCCCATCAGGTGGGTGCTATCACCACCGCCCTTTGCCTCCAAAAGTGTTAGCAACGTACAGCACCTGGCACAGGGCCTCTGCCTGGCACACAGTAAGTGCTTACAAAACAACGTGCTGTTGTTGCTGTCAACAAGGCGGAAATGGGACTGGGAGGGTTGTGATGATGATGAGACAGGACCTGCAGGCACACCTCAACTGGAGTGATGAGAAGCCATGATGGTTCATCTTGTACTGACTGTGCAGACCCAAGGGCCAGAGAAGAACCCAGAAGGTATTGCTCTGAAAGGGAATAGCCCACTTAATGAGTCCCAATCCCTGATCTTAGAGACAAAGGAGGTGAAATCCAGAGAGGTCAAATGAATTTGTCAGAAGCCATGTAGACTTAGAGGCGTTCAGGCCGCTGAGTCCCGGCCCAGAACTCTCCCCATGGCCATGGCCTCTCTGCTGACTTTTGAACCTGCTCCAGCAGCTGCTCCTTGGCCTTTGTCTAAAAGAGATGTTCTTCGGGCACCCTCCACTCTGCTGGCTAACACAGCCTCAAAACATGTGTTCCAACCACCCAGTTCCAGCAGGTCTGGTAATAATCCTCCTTCCAGACAGGCAGGTGCACGTCGGGGCTCAGCCGCCAACTCTTCTGGCGGGAACTTTCAGCAGTCCCTGTATCCACACGTGCCACGCACGGGGCAAAGTGTGGCTGCCACATGGCCTGCCTCGCTGCGTCTGCTCACAGACGCCCAGCCACAGTCTGCGTGCGGCGAGGCAAGCCAGCCTGTAATTGTGAACTTAACAAGCAGAAAGGTGCAGGGCTCATTCTCCATCTCCTATTAGGCACTGAAGTGGAGTGCAGTCATGCCTCTCAAACACCTACCACCCTCATCTGGGACCGGGAGCTGACTACACCCACAGGGGAAGAGGGCCGGGGAAGCAGGGACATTGGGTGAGAATAGCCAGCCCCTCGGTTCACACGCTGCAGGAGACACTGGCTCAAAAATAAGCAATGGAGAACTGGTGGAGGAAGGGGAGGGAAGAAGGATGGGGGCTCCAGCCTGCTTCACCAGCACCCCCACTGGATCCCTGCAGAGGTAACCCAATAGTAGCCACCCCACCCCAGCTCCGCCCCCCCCCCAGTAGGCAAAGTCACTCATTCACTGCTGGCAAGGCTGTCTAAGGCTTCTCCAATGACAAACTTGGAGCTTTCCATGGAGTCTCCCTTCTGAGCCATCGAACCTTGCAAGCAATGACCCCAACCAGCAAGTCCCCACCTCAAATTCAGATCCTACCAACACTTCACTCTCAAATTATCATTTAGCTGACTTTAAAATACAGTGTGAGAGGTAACGAGCAGAGCACACCCTCCCGTGGCAAATAACAGCACTGACTCACACCCAAGATTTCCCCCAAAGCACCCCTGAACCAGGCAGGGTGAGAAAGGGAGCCAGAGGCAGGAGACCTGCAGGACCCTGAATCAAAGCCAAATACGCTGCCATTTCCCTTCCTCTGAAGTCAGATTTTACTTCTGCGTGGTCTCAGGAGAGCTGGGACTCGATTTTAGAAGCTGATCATCATTTTGATTAGAGAAATTGGGGCTGTCTTTGTTTTATGTGGCAAGTTTTGAAGAGCTCAAACTAATTTTCCTGAAATTGCACCATCCTCTCAGATTCCTGAGTGGCAGAGAGAAAGTTATTACAGAGTGGTTTAAAATAGCAATTACCTCGCAGAATCACTTCAGCGCTGGCAAAGTGTTTTCATATACAATACTTGGCTCTGATCTTACTGCTTCTGACGATTCTGTTAGGTTGATGAGGTACTTCCAAGTGTATATCCCCTTGA